CAAAAGTTCCTAAAGCCCAGGCCCTTGTTACAAGGCTGTTTGTGAAAGATTTTCCTCTTTTGAATAGGGTGCTCTAAAGGTCACAGCAGTCTGATTGCAGTAAACGCTGTATATTGTAGGTATTTATATGTCCGGCTGGATGGCACCATGTCCATTAAAAAGAGAGCAAAGATTGTGGAACGATTCAACAGCCCCTCAGTAAGTACAACCTGCCAAATGTGAGCAGCACTCCTGCCAGTTCTGAATGCTGTGAGTAAAAGTATGGCTGCCTCTGTAGTTTAATTCAGGCCTGCCTTTTTCCACAGAACCCTGAATTTATCTTCATGTTAAGCAGCAAAGCAGGTGGCTGTGGCCTGAATTTGATCGGGGCTAACAGACTGGTTATGTTTGACCCAGACTGGAATCCAGCTAATGATGAGCAGGCCATGGCTCGTGTGTGGCGGGATGGCCAGAAGAAGACATGCTACATCTATCGACTGCTTTCAGTGAGTCTTACTCCTCTCATCTCCTCAGAATGGAGTACTTGCTACCAGCTAGGCTGCAGCTGCTGTGATTGCAACCAGAAGGGGAAGAACTCTTTTGTGTTGGTGACCAGAATTGATTGGAACTTAATTGCTTCCTATCCTCAGATGTGTTGCCTTGGGGAAAAAAACATGAAGGGTCAAGCTGGAGGGTCATTACTGCAGGCCTTGGTTTCTAATGGTGACTGGCTTCTGAGAAACAGAAACAACCTTGGCTTTCCAGATAAGATGCTCATTCAAAGTCATTTATGCATCTGACTTTTAATTTTATGGGGTGTCTGATGCCAAAGTTACTGTCTTGCAGTCTGGCTGCAGTCTGCTTTGGTTGGGTGTACATGTATTTAATAAACAGCAAGTACGTTCCCAGAATTACAGCAGCTTTTGGAATGGAACTGCCAGTTAGCAGGTGGGGTAGCTGCTCTGTAAAGGAATAGCATGGAGGAGACTAGTCTTTTCAGGCTACTGAAAAGGCACCCTTTGTCCAACAGTGCCAGTAGCCATGACTGCTCAGAAGTGTCCCCTCTCTGCCCTTGTTTGTCTTCACCTCTTGTTAGTTCAGACTGTGGGGTTTTTTTTGTTTTGGTTTGTTTTTTTGTTGTGTGGTGGTTTGGTTTGGGTTTTTTTGTAGGTTTGTGTTCCTTGATCAATGATTATTTTACTTTGACAAAACAGAAGCTCTTTACCCATCTCTTCTTTATGGTGTTCCACTTTTTCACTGACCTGGCTGTACCTGGAAGCAGGGAGCTCCTTTGCTTTTAAAACTGGGAAACTGGTCTGCAAATCATGACTAATCACCCCTTTCTTTTGTATTACATTTGTTTGCAAAACAGACATCTGGCTCTCAGATTTTTGCCTTAAAAATGTAGTATACTGGGCTTTCTGCACATCTGTTCTAGAAGTAGTCATCTCCCTCCAGAGAGTGGGTGTGATTGATCTGTGGGTGGATGAACCAGCAAATACTGCTGATGCTCGTGTCACCCAGGGCTAGCCCTTGCTGTTGTTTTTTCGGGGAGGTTGTGTTTGGTGTTTGTTGGGTGTTTTTTTTTGGTTTTTTGTGTGTGTTGGGGTTTGTTTGTTTTGTTTTGTTTTGGGGTTGGTTGGTTTGTTTGTTTTGTCAAGAAGTGGCTGTAGCTGCTCAGCTCCTTCCTCTTCCTTCCTGTCAGCACAGCCTGGTGCAGTGTGTGAGCTCCAGCCACAAGTGGCAGCCCCACCCCTTCATCATCCATATCTCTGTGGGATCCACTCCTGTAGCCACAATGAAAGACAAGAGGAGCAGAGTTGGGTTAGATCAGCAACCAAACAGGACATGGTTGGAGTGCAGCTAGTAAAACTTGCCTGTCATCTGTACTGGTCTGGCAAGGCACTAAGTGGTCCTGACAGCTTACTGCCATTTCATCTGTGACACTTCCCACTGTAATGCTGCTTTAACACTAGTGTCCCAACTGTGCTTTACCTCTGACTTTCTCTCCTGTAGACGGGGACCATAGAGGAGAAGATATTCCAACGCCAGACCCACAAGAAGGCCCTCAGCAGCTGTGTGGTGGATGAAGAGCAGGATGTAGAAAGGCACTTCTCACTTGGGGAGCTGAAGGAGCTCTTCACATTGAATGAGACCACCACCAGTGACACCCATGACAAGTGAGTATACTGAATAACTAATGGATAGGGTCAGCAAAAAAAACCCTCTGCAGTTTGGCCTACTGATTCAGGGGTTCCTCAGGCAGCAGGAGGAAGCTCGGAGAGGGAGGGCCTCAAGTGTCTCTGCTTCTGAAGCTGTTAACCACCTGGAGATGAGCACTTCCTTGCTGTCCTCCCTTTTTGTTGTCTTAGAAAAGCTGTGCTGGCTGGACAAGTGAGCAAACTATCTTGTTGCTGGCTGTGTTTGGAGGCTGTGGAATACTGCAGCTAACGAAAAGGAAGAAATTGATCAGAGCTGTTCAAATTGGTGGAGCCCAACTTGGTCCTTCCTTGCTGCTCTCCTCCTTGGTGGTTTGTGATCTCCAAATGCTGAGCTGCTTCAACTGCCAGGGCTATTCCACCTGCTAAGAATTCATGAGGCCAAGCCAAGTGCTGTTCTGGGGACTAAAAGAACCCTCTTCTCCATTGTCTGCCCTTCTCCTCCATCCCTGAGACCTGTAGTATTGTAGCCACCAGACAGAGGACAGGGAGTGCAGGAAAATGCTTCACTGTGAAAGTTAAGACTCTTAGTTCAGGCAAGAAGTGAAGAAGAGCTGACTCAAAGCTTAGCTCTGTAGGTATCTTGTCTGCATGGCAACAAGCTTTGCTGGCACGGCTGCTGCTGCTGCTGCTCTTTATCTCCTTATGTGGCAGTTCAGTAGGGCATCTCCAAAACATCCTGAGCACAAGCCAGCGGCAATGGTGAGAGCCAAGATGGAGCAGTTTGGAGCATGGTGTGCTCTCTTGAACTCGGGAAGCCTGACGTAGTGCTAAGAAGGCGTGAGCAGTGTGGCGTTCACTTGAGATCTGCCCTAAGCAACATCCCTCACTTTTCGGGCGAAACTTCTCCTGAACTTTCTCTGGGTCCTGCTGGACCATTGCCACATGGCAAAACATGGAGGAGGAGCGCTATTAGAAACAGAATTCCAAGGTTTCTAAAATGTGTGAGAGTCACTTCTTATCTGTCATACATGCCAGCAGGTGTTTAAATGAAACATGGTAGCAATTAATCCTGTCTGAAAATCCAGTTGCCAGTGTTGCAGGTGAAGGGGACGTAATCCAAATGTTAGTGGGCTGCATTTTTAAACAACCTGTACCCTAAAGAAATGGAGGAACCTTGCACTGACCTTGCGCTGGCTCTGTTCCAGGATCAAGTGTCATCGCTGTGTGAATGGCCACCAGGTACGGCCTCCCCCTGAAGGGTCCGACTGTACCTCTGACCTCTCCCAGTGGAACCACTGTGCTGATAAGCGGGGGCTGCAGGACTCTGTGCTGAAGGCTGCATGGGATGCTGCTGTCACCTTCACCTTTCATCATCACTCCCATGAGGAGCAGCGAGGGATTCCCTAACAGGTTACTGTCCCCTGTGGGGGCAAGAGCAGGCTGCTGTGGCAGTCCACCCCACTTTAATCCCTTTCAAGGAAAGGCGCAGTGGGTAGCTGTGTATGTGTTGGACTGTTGTGTGGCTGTGGAATAGCAGAACAGAATGGTTTCCGAGAGGCTGGAAGGCCCTTGGCATTGTTTAGTCTACTGCAACAGCAAGGATTCTGTGGCTGCTTCTCCGCTGTTGTATTGTGTGCCTGAAAAACAGCCCTTTGGGAACTGGGAATAACCAGACCTTGTGCACTTGATCAGATTCAGCACTGGTTCTCATGCTGTTGGTGTCTGTGCCTTCTACTCAGCCAAATTTCGTCTTCAGGTTTAAGTTAAGCCTGCAGTTTTATAGCACTTGATGTGCAGAGTCATGGCTTTTTCCTTGACAGCTATGGCTTACAGCCGCTGATCAGAAACTTGCGGAATCTGTTTCTGTTGTGAAATGTGAACCTTGCTGATTACTCAGGGACAAGAGGGTTTGTACAAGGGAAAATAATTTCAGCTTGTATGTTGAACATCTGGCTTGAAAGATCATGCAGGCAGTAGGAAATCAGGTTCTATTAAGGTAACTCCATTTCTAAAACCACTTGCTTTGTTATGGGCAGGATCCCCTGATCTAGCAGTGTTTTAATTAGATCACATTACAAGCCACTAATAAAATTCATACTTTGGTACATTATGGGTCTTAATTATATTTTTATTATAAAAATGTTACAAAAGAACAAACTATTCAAAACCTCTGTAAAATGACTGCAGACACTGGAGAGGTACCACATGATTGCAAATAAACAGCAGGCTACTTGGTACACAATGAAATTTGGTTTTTTGTCCAAAGTAAAACGTTCCAAATTTAAAAGGTGAAGTCTAGGGGCTTTTTAAGCTTGTTTTCTATTCCCTTTAAGTGGAGAGAGGAGTTCTTATTTCATAGATCACAGAATGATTGAAGTGGGAAGGGACCTCAAGGTCACATTGTCCAATGACCCTGATCAAAAGCAAGGTCACCTAGAGCTGGTTGCCAAGGACCACAACCACATGGCTTTTGAGTGTCTCCAATGATGGAGATGGTTATTCATGAGACATTGGCTGAAACAACATGAAATTTGTAACAACACCCAGTGAAATAAATAATTGCTCATCCAAAGATCTGCATGAAGTCACAGAAGCTCATTTGATATGTCCCATTCATAATATTCCAACTAAGATGGTGGAGTTAGACCACCTGGAAGTACAGTTGTTGACCCACACGGTCTTGTGTGTCACTTCACTGTAGTACCCCTTCTTCAAATGAATAGAAAAGGGACAAGAACAACTGTATACTGCTTGAACCAGGGGAAGAAAACCCTACCTGTGCTATGAAATACATTTTATTGGCCAGGGACTGAACTGCTTAGTTCAAGGTGATCAGTTTTTTTCCTGGTCCTGTGTCCATCACATGACACTGATGTAGTCAGCAAAGGCCTGGGAGGAGTCCCATGAGTCATTGACCACACTGCACACAGCTTTGAGACGCCGAAGCGCTTCTTGAGCTGTTTCAGCATCCTGGTCCAGCCAATTTTGGAAGAGGCGGAGGTGTGTGAACTGAATCTGTCCCCCTCTCTGCTGGATGTGGCCTTCCAGCTTCTTCGTGAACTCCAGGAGCCCATCAGGTTTGATGCAATTTGAGCTTTCCAGGGAAAGAAGGACAAAAAACCAAAGTCATTAAGAGTTTTATGCTATAATTTGAGCAGTTTAAATTACTGTTCCTTCTAGTAACTGACAGTGCAGCTACTTGAGGATGTTTCAGTGCAAAGTACAACTTTCTCAGCAATACAAAGTGTGAGCAATCCGTTAGTTTTGATGGAAAAACAGTAATATGAAGGCCTGGAAACTTTTCAAAACTAAGGTGGTAACCACTGACAAGTTAAACTCATTGTCCTGGCCTGCTTACTACTGACTTAAGTAGGCCTGTCTGTGGCCTTAAAATGTTGCTGGACCCAAGCTGCTGACTAAGCAGTGCCAGAAGCACTTCAGTCTCATAGCAGCTGTCAACTGCCTGGACCAAGGGGCCTGGCCCAACCTACAGGTCACAGTGCAAGCCTCAGCAGTAAGTGATCATTTATCAATTCCTTCTGAGAAAATCCGGAGAGCATGTGTCAGGTTCTGGTGTTCCTAGGTGATTAAAAGGTCATTTCCCCTGCATAGATGTGTAAATAAATATGAAGTTCTATGCTGGACTTAATCTTGTGAGAGGCACAGTAACAATCAGGACTCAAGGCTGCTGAAGGAGTAGCTATGGTTAAATAAATAGTCAAGCCTGTGTACTCAGCAACCTGAGCCATTAGGATGTAAGGGGGGGGGGGGGGGGTGTTTGTTTTTGCACA